GGGGGGGGTTTTGGGGGAGGTAATCACCCGCCCTTTTTAAAATTTCCAAAGGTGGAGAAACACTGTAACGATAACAACAACGATAATAAACCAAGCCCCAGCACAAGAAATCACGACATGTGAACCTATCCAGATATGATGGAATGGAATTATGAAGGCGAAGCTCAGGGAGATAAACGTTTTCTTAGCTCACCAGAACCGCGTGGGAGGAACAAGAGGATGAGACTGGCACCTCCCTGAGGAATTCACACTGTTGTGGCTGGAGGGCTTTGGGGGGTGGGGGTTGAGGCTGGGAAGATTCTTGCTAGAGGTTGTAGCTAATAAACATAGCTGGACTGAAATGGCATGATCTCTTGGAGTTCCTTGGGCTAGGCCTGACACCAGAGCTATTTTGGTGACTATTTGTTTCCTACTTAGAACGGACTTTTTTAATACTTATTTTGAGAACGAAAACCGGGGCAGGGGGTTCCTGCCCCCAGGACAGTTTGAAATACCCTTGGAAAAAAGCCGAGATGCTTAAACGGGCCTCCATGGGCTCGCCCTACCGAAGGTGTTCCCCCCAACCACCGTCACCGAAACGGGGCCTGTTCCTCGTTTCTACACGAATGCGATTCGCCGTCAGCCTCTAGTAAAACCAGGAGGAGAAATCCAGGAATCTCCCATCTCCTCCAAATTTTGTTCTTGGCTCCACCCACCTCTCTGGGCTCCGTAACCCCACCTCCCGCATAAGCTCCGCCCTCGCCTTGCAGGTCTGGCGTTCGCAAGAGCCCCCGAGAGGACTCGGGATACCGATGAGATCCTTACCCAACACTGTGTAGGATTCGGCAGTGAATCGGTCTCTCCCTCCACGGCCGGTCGGCATCCTTTTTGGAGACTGGACGCACCTGCAGAGGAGAAAGCCCAGAGGCCGGGGGCTGCTGAGCACCATCATTCAAGAGGGAGCAACAATGGAGGTCTGGGAATCGGCCCCTTTTCGGATCCCAGCCCTCCTTCCACATTGCAGCAAAGCAGAGTTTGAGAAACCAAGGCCTCATTTTATACGTCTGTGCGCATGTGTGCATGTGTCTAAATATACATTTATATTAATTTACCGGTAGTCCTCGCTTAACCACAGTAATTGGGATGGGCAACTCCGTCGCTAAGTGACGTGGTCATTAAGCGCAATGTCACATGACTGCACTGAGTTACAACGGTAGTTCCAGTTGCTGTCATTAGGCGAATCCTGTGCACTCACAGCATCCTGCGATCACGCAACTGCCATTTGCGACCTCCTGTCAGCTTCCCCACTGACTTTGCTTGTGGGAAGCTGGCAGTGAAGGTAGCAAATGGCGATCAAATGACCATGGGACGCTGTGACTGTTGTAAATGTGCACCGGTTGCCTAGTGTCCAAATCACGATCACATGACCGCGGGGATGCTGCGACAGCTGCCACTCTGAGGAACAGTCGTAAGTTCCCTCGTTCAGCACTGGCGTAACTTTGAACAGTCACTGATCAAGTGGTCGTTAAATGAGGACTACTGGTCTATAAATATACATGTATGTATATAAATATAAATATATATTTCACACACTCATATATCTATATATCTATATACACACAGGAACTTTTTTCCCATGTCGGGCATTCATTATTATTTTTTAATAATTTTATTGCAGTTTTTACAAGGAAACTACAGAGAAAACAATCTACACACATTAGCAGATGTTATTATTTTATTAGAGTATTGATCCTAAAACTGCCTCCTGATGGAACAGAGTTTAATCCGTGGTTCAGATCAGCATCTGCTAAACTGGTTCATGGATCAACATTTCCAAAGGCACCTTTAAAACAATGCCCACCATCTGCAGCTTTTTAAGTCCTCGCATTATTACAAGGTCATAACAGCTCCCCAGATGCTTTTCAAACGGGCTGGACTACATCACCCATCCTTCCCAACCAGTATATTTAGAAAACTCCGGGTCAGAGAAGGCTGTTCACATCAAGTCCATTGGCCTGTTCATCCAGCTTCCTCATCAACGGAAGGTTTCCTCAGTCAGCTGGTGTAATTAAACAGGATTGTTTTTCATGAGCAAAAAACGTATCAGGATGAATCTCCCTGAGCCCAGGGAACCCGAATTTGAAGTCTGTCCAATTTTGCCAAAACAAGGAACTTGGGGCACAATATTACGATGCGAACTCTGCCCGATATGACGGGTCTCCAACGCCATGAGGCTTCTACAAAAGGGAAGGACCCTGCCCCGCAGCGCCCCAACGCAAACTTCAGCTGACGGGTACCCCCGGGCAGCGCTGTGGCACCCGAACAAAGGCAGCCGCGTTTGCACGACCCGCATTTCCTCATTTGCCTCCTGCCTGCCCATCCCACGGACACACGAGCTGCTCCCGTTCGGCCAGCAAAGCAAAGCAAAGCAGAGGAGTTACCTGGCTGGAGAGTTGACCGGGGAGGCGGTTCGCCCCTTCCCATCCTTCTCACGCGCTTTCATGTCCTGCACCTTCCCGCCCATGGCGTCCCATTCCACGCTGAGGTCTTCCACCTTGAGATTTTGGTGGCTGGTGCTGCCGTCCAGGCGGTACATGAAGGCTGAGAACAGAAGAAGGAAGGGGATGTGAAGAGGTATTGCTAACACCTCTTGATGTTCCTCTCTAAGCCCCTTGCCTCCTTCCTTCCTCCCTCCCTCCCTCCCCATCAAACTCCTCCCTCCC